CCCCCTTCTTCTCTCTCTCTCTCTCTCTCTCTCTCTCTCTCTCTCTCTCTCTTCTGTTTCTTCTGTTAAGCAGTAAGTTCTGTATGTATCCTTAACGTATCTGTTGATTGTTCTTTTTCTGTGTTCTGAATTGTAAAGAACTGTAGTTTTATTGTCAACACTTATAAAAACAGCTCAAAATCTTTGATCATTTTTCTAAAACTGTTTCTAATACTTCTTTGTTTGCATTTCAGGTTGTTATCATAGATCTGTTGCTTCTTCTGGCTGCAGTTTAATTGGTACATTCTTTGTTTTGATCTTTTTTTTTTAATCTTCCCATATATGTTTTTGTTTTCTTATAAACTACGTACTACTAGTTATTTGCTACAGTGAACCAATGCTGGGGCTTCATGTGTTGGTTACAATTTATTTGAGATTTCTTTTTCCTTTCTTTTTAAGCTTTTCAGTTCTTGTGTTATTTGTGAATTTAAAAAGAAAAAAAAAAAGGCCTAACTCTGTCTCCACTCTTCAGCACCCCAATTTCTCTACCGTCTCAGCTGAGATTTTCTGCCGCTGCAATAAGGACCATCGTCTCCGTCACTGAATCCGGCCGTGAAATCTGAATACCCATTTTAGGTAAATTTTCATAGTCCAGTTTTTGGTGCGTTTTTTTCGTCCATTTTTTGCAGTAAAGGTGATTACTTTATGAAAATTTAAAGATGTATTGAATTGTATTGTTATTCAGATGATAATTTTAGCTGTTGGGTTGGTCTCCTTTCTCTGTTTGTGTTTGTTCAACGGGTTTCATTTGTCTGCTGAATTTGTGAACTGTAACATGAATAAAGCTGTTGCGAATAAAAACTACATTTTTTAAAGTAGCAGTAAAGATGGAGTAGTAATATTTTCAATTTACCTGATATAGAATCGCTCCTGATGTCTAGATCCAGTAGCCATCAGACATTAACCCCAAGAGAGGAACATTGTGGGGGTTCTAACAGTGCAATCAAACAGGAACTTGATGAGTGAAATCTGTTAACTAAAAAGAAAAAAGAGAACTTTTCGAATCACTATATCCCGGGTACCTTGATAACTTAGGATTAGTGATGATAGGGTTGATGTGATATCTCAAAACTGGAATTTGATGGTATATTTATAGGGGATATGTGGGGAACTTACCAAGGAAGTTAAAAAGTTTGGGAGATGAAATGTTGTCGTGGTTTAGGCTAATATGCTGATGATGCCTCTGGTCCTTGTGATGGAAGACTAAAGCATAAGGAAAATCTTAAACATGTTGAAAGGTGGTTCCCTTTGGTTATTGAGCTTCTGGGAACTTTGTTTGAACTTCCTGTTTATCATATTTCCCGTCCTCTCTGATTGTTCAATTACTCTGCAAACGAAAGAAGAGGACACACTTGATTCTTAAGGAGACCGTGAAAGCTAATTGCATACAGCTGCTTCTGACCTTTCTCCACTTAATACCAAAGTACTCCCTTGTAAGTGATCTCGCATGCTTAAGGTCATAGCCTGTGTCAGTTACTTGCTAGCTCTGAAATATAAGATTGTCCTGGCACTGATTGTTGATGCTCCTTGATCCTTACTTCAAATGCTGATATTTTAGCATACGGAAAGTCTGGTAATTTGTAGTTGGTGTCACTTTGTTAAATTAAGTCCATCATTAAAGATTGCCAGATTAAGACACAGAGCATTTTACTTCTCAGTGTCATCAGCCATGTAAAGGCAATTGATCTGAAGTCAGCTTTAAACTTTCTCAATCTTGTAATGAGTATTATTGCTTGGTGCCTGATCCTTATGCATAAAGGGGTACCTTGCTTGCATTTCTTGGCTCATTCTTTGGTGTTGAATCTTGTTTCTTCATGCATGCCAAGTCAAGCAAAATGCTGTAGGCTAGGATACCAGGCCTCGCTCACTCTAATTATCTGTCTAATTTCATTTCTGTTGTAACCTCAGATAATTGGAAACCACATTACAGTAATCATGCTTCTGTTGGCTGCTAAGTATTTATTCGTGCTTTTGTGGTGCTAAGTGGTTGTATATGTTTGCACATTGGTCCACTGCTAAAGTTCTATCTTTCTGATGGATGAACTGGGCTGTTCTCTGTCAGTGGCTTCTATATAGAAACAATAAGGGCCCAGGACGCACATTGTAACAGCAAGCTAGACAGTCTAGTAATTTGTGTTGCTGTTTGATTGTCAGCAGTCAAGCATCCTACTGACGTTCTTCCCTGCTTGTCATCTTTTTTATTTCTTCTCCATGGGTAGGGAGTGGATTGAGCGAGGGGCATACTGAAGGATGTGAGTTTAAGTCCTGCAGTTCAATTGGGAAAAATTCCAAAGGTCGTCTTTTATAGTTTTTGAACTTGCCCCAGTGCTTTTTGGTTCAATGACAAAGGTAATACAGTGCGATATGTTGGAGGTGCGCATTATTAGTTTGAATCTTAGCAGTGGAGAAGGGTAGAGGGCAGACACATTATCCATCACAGTTTCGAAGTTGGGAAAAAATAGATTTTGCGATTATTAGAATAAAGTTCAAAATTCTTTGTATGCGATCTAATTCTTCTCCATTTAAAGTTTGATTTTTAAGTGGAGAAAGGTAGAGGGCGGACACATTATCCATCACAGTTTCGAAGTTGGGAAAAAATAGATTTTGCGCTTATTAGAATAAAGTTCAAAGTTCTTTGTATGTGATCTAATTCTGTGCATGCAATCTTATTGATACTTGTCAAAAGTAGATTGTTGGTCTTCACCAAAAATTCCCCTCCTACTTTTCTTTTTCCTTTTTATTTGGGGTGGATTTGCAGACAGAGTGCCATGATTTCGAGCAGCAACTTCATTCATAAGACTCACTATGAGATCCTAGGTGTGAAGGAGGATGCAGATTTTGAAGAAATCCGTAAAGCCTATCGGTCAGCCATACTTTGTTTTCATCCAGACAAGCAGCAAAAGCCATCAGAAACATCCAATTCTAAGTGTCTGACAGAAAACAAATTTTTGGAGATACAGAGAGCTTGGGAAACCCTTGGCAACCCGAGGTCACGTGCACTTTATGACGGTGAATTGCTAGCTTTGAGACAGGACGTAGCAATTGCTGAATATGTTAGCTTAGAGGACCTTACAATTCAAGATTCTGGTGATGTTATAGAGCTTTCTTATCCTTGTAGATGTGGTGACCACTACTTTATTGATTCTTTAGAATTGGCTGACACGGGTTGTTCAATATCAATAGAAGGGTGTACAGTCTTTTTGCTGACCTCTAAATCTTTGCCAGCATTTATTGTGCTTCCTTGTGGATCTTGCTCACTTAAAGTTCGCCTACTGATTAATGGCGATACTAGGCTTCACAGAGATGTTCACTTGTAATTGTGACTAGTTGGAAAACATTATTATCTACAATATTTTTGCAAATTTTTTTGAAATTGAAATGACAACGGAAAATCGGAAGTCTGAAATTTCTTGTGTTTTTTTTTTGGTTACTTGAGTGCCAACAAATAGAAAGGGTCAATACCTGAGTTTTTTCTGATTCAGAACGATTACTTTTCTCTCCTCCCTCTGTCTCTCTCTCTAATGGCTACTTTTCTCCCTCTCTCTTCGACCCCCTTTCTTCTCCGTCGAGTAGCCCCACCCACCGGCAAGAACGCCGGCGACCACACGCAGGTAAGCAAGGGTGGAGTGGATGAAATGGAGTCTAGCATCTGGAGTACTGTGTGACACGAAAGTGCCTCTGTCACTTAAAGGTAAGTTTCATAGAGCGGTGGTTAGACCGGCCATGTTGTATGGGGCTTAGTGTTGGCCAGTTAAGCAATCACACATCTAGAAGATGAAGGTAGCAGAGATGAGATAGTTGAGGTGGATGTGCAGGCATGCTAGGATAAGAACGAAGTTATTCGGGAGAAAGTGGGCGTAGATCCTATGGATGACAAAATGCGGGAAGCGAGACTCAAATGGTTCGGGCATGTACAGAGGAGAAGCCCAGATGCCCCGGTAAGGAGGTGTGAGCGGTTGGTTTTGGAGGGTACGAGGAGAGGTAGAGGGCGGCCTAAGAAGTATTGGGGAGAGGTGATCAGACAGGACATAGGGTGACTTCAGATTTTCGAGGACATGGCTCTTGATAGGAAGGTGTGGAGGTCGAGCATTAGGTATGTAGGTTAGGAGGTAGTTAAGCATTGTTCTTCTTTGTACATGTGTGAAGCTAGTCTGACAAGGCTTTGTCTTAGACTGCTAGTGTTCATGTTGTGTTTACACTATTCTACTGTTTTTCTTTGTGCCAGACCTTATCTACGGATTATTGTTAGTGCTTTGCATCTTTTCTCTAGTTCTTATGTTGCTGTCATTATTTTTATTATTTTCTATCGATTGTATTGATATATTGTCTCTCTTCTCGTCTTCTTGAGCCGGGGGTCTTCCGGAAAGAGCCTCTCTACTCCCTCGGGGTAGGGGTAAGGTCTGCGTACACTCTACCCTCCCTAGACCCCATTTGTGGTATTTTACTTGGTTGTTGTTGTTGTGTTATTTGTGAATTTGTTTTATTTGAGATGGGTTTCTTAATGGAGATTTTCTGAGAACTATAATGAGTTTTTGTTTTAAAGGTTCTACCTTTTTTTTCTTGTTTTCTTGTTGGGTCTGCTGATGTTTGATTCTATGTATAAATGGAGATTTTTCTTGAGTTTTTATGGGTTTTTGATTTGAAGGTCCAATCTTTTTTGCTTTTTTTGGATTGCTGATGTTTGATTCTATGTTTAAATGGAGATTTTTCTTGAGAATTTTAATGGGTTTCTGTTTTAAAGGTCAAACCTTTTTTTTTTTTTTTTGTGGGTTTGCTGATATTTGAGTCTATGTATAAGTAGAACTTCTTGAGTTTTAATGGGTTTCTGATTTAAAGGTCCATCCTTATTATTTATTTTTTGGGTTGCTTGTATAGAGCTCTTTCTTTAGGCCCTCTTTTGTTTTCAGGAAATTAAGGAAGAAAGCCATTTTATGTGGTCTTTGATGCTTCTGCATACAGCTGATTTGAACATGGAATGTGTTAATCTGCTTATTGTTTTGATGAAAAAATCTTTTTCTCATCTTGATGATGTATTGAAGAGTTAAAAGGTTGGGAATCTTTAGTCCATGCTCTCTGGAGTTTTAAGAATCCAAAATCTAGAAATCTTCATTTGTTCAATTTTAGTCGATGCTCATTGGTATTTGATGACTGTGTATCTTATTGCAGATATATCTTCTCTTTTATCTTTTTTTCTTCTCATTTCTGTTTAATCCTTCTTCTTCTCATGCCAGCTGTTCATATGACCAAATTCTTCTTTTGTTTTCTTTTTTCTCTCTTTTTTTGGTTTTATTCCCACTACCTCAGTCCAATATTTCTAGTGCAATTTCCCTTCATGGTTGATGATGTCTGTCTATTTTGTCTCTATTTAAACATGTCTGAGTGGTTTAAATAATAGTTTTGTATGTAAGTAGAACAAGTATCAGGATATCTGTACATAACTGCTCTTAAAGTATACCATATTGAAGGATAATTTTCAAAAATATCAATGTTGTTATTGGGAGGAAATATACTCTTATGACCTTCATTTCATCGACAGGAATCAAGGTCGCATAGAGGCTCTGGATTCTAGGCAATAATAGTAGTTGCACATAAAGTGCAATGTTTTGTTGACATGGAGATGTCTTATCTGGCTTCTTTTGAGAAACCTTGTTTATGTGAAGAGAATGAAATGCCTTTGAGAGCATGATACTCTATAATTGTGGTATTGATGCGAATGCATTAATTAGATGTAACTGTATCCGAATTCGGTTGTGAAGGCATGTTAATATGCTCATCAGCTAACAAGTGGAGAAATCCTTGCTTCAGTGATATACAAGTATACAACCTTTCTGTTCTTAAACCCTTAGATATAATTCTATGTTGCACTCTCTCAGGTACCCCAACCCCACCACACCGCCACAAAAAAAAAAAAAGGAACAGTAACATTTTCCACCAATCTTTTCTGTTGGCATTGAGGCCACATTTTACATCATTATCATAACATGTTGATTATAATACTATTCTACTGCTGTCTTATGTTACCTGCCTAAATTGGAGTAAGTATGGTTTACTTTAAATTTTCCAGGTCTGCTAAGAACAAAGTGTGTGGATCTTCAGGCACTACGATACTATCTCAAATTCTCTTTGAGGTTGTAATTTGGTGTATAATATAGCCCTAATGCAGGGGCGACGGAGTACCTTCGGTTCCCTTCAAGAATCTTTAGGTTTCAGTCATGGTTCTACGTCTAGTGATGGTGGTGCAGATCAGCAGATATGCTGGAATAATTTGCAAGATCCTGCACAAAATCACCTGCCAGATTATATGGTATCTTCTAATGAGACCAATTTTCCATTTTTCGACCCTGTGAGCCAAGAGAGACAGAACGTAACCGGGTGGAGTTTAGGAGAATCCAGCTCCTCAATTACACCGAATTGTGCAAGTCAGAGTGAACAGAAAACAGATCATGGAAGGTCATCCACGATGACTACTTATCCTGGACCTTCACATTTCTGTAACGAACAGCAATATGGGTCTTCTGACATTCTGTCATTGAGTAATACTGAAGAAAATTTAAACAGCCATCGAATAGATAACATCACTTTATTTTCTCGAGGTTATAGTTCTAGCACTATTCCTCATGATATCAGCAGAAATCCAGTATTTGAGGGGCACAGCGACGATAATGATGATGACGGTGACTCTCAAGTGATGGAGTGTACTCCATACAACTCTGATAGACCAGGAAAAGAGCAAAAATCATCTGCTAGTACTTCTGGAACTAATGGATATTTGATGGATGATAGTGATGGCAGGCCAGACAGTACACTGGATGGTCGGCGCTTTTGTAAGAGAAAAGCATTTGAAGGATATCTAGCGCAATCTTCAGGGAGTGGTAGTTCTAATTATATTCCTCTTGCTGAGAATGACTTATGGGATTCTACACCTGCTCCTCCACATAGTATGAGTACAGGTGCAAATATCTCTGCTCCAACAGAAAGTAACAGAAGCATCAATATGTCAGAGCAGGTGATCCCAAGACTTGGGCTTACCATGGGAGGAGCTGTTACAGAAACTCCTCTTGATACACTGGCTTCAAGATCACAGAGAAATTTCAGGGTGAGGATTAATGGCTCACTTCAGCAAGATTATCTTCCTAGTAATCCCTTTCCTGCTGTGGATGATGTTGGAAATGTTAATCTGTCATCTGAACAGCAATTACCAGAGCTCCTTCCTAATATCTCTTTGGATTTGAGGTCTATATCTGCTGCAGACAGTGGAAATACTCAAAGGCAGCCTGTTGTAATGCATGTTCCTTCTCTGCATCGACGTGCACATACTAGGTGGAATTCAGCATCAAGTTCAAGAACTGGCAGTTCATCAAGTTTTTCTGGTGAGAGAAATTCAGCAACATTTGAAGAGCCTAACTCAAGAAGTGTGTCAAGAAACATCTCACAACATCCTATGTTCATACCTTCAACTGATGGGAGAAACTGGAACCAAAATCTTGCCAACTGGAGTTTAGCTGGAAGAAATATTTCTGTTGCTGGAAATGTCGCATCCACATCTCGCAACAGCTCCAGTTCAGGGGTCCACACATCCCCTCCTACTAGGGTTCTCCACAGATCTCCTCAATATCATCGGAGACTGCAAGAATTAGTCCGTAGATCTTTGTTGTCTTCAGATGGCGCTGAATCTGGAGGTCATAGTGGTAATAATCGTCCACTACATTTGAGTTCTGCTGTCTCACAGGAGATGGCACTATCTGGAAACCATGAGCATCGTACATCGAGTTCAAGGTCAGCAATGATGTCGGAGCGGCATCTTGATGGTGCTACCGGAGTCCCCTATTCCTGGAGGAATTTGGCTGCTGCACGTGAACGAAGAAGCAGGGTAGTCTTTGAGGTATTTTCACTTAACTGGTCATGTCATAGTTATCACCTCCTCGTCTCATTCAGCATGAATTGTTGGGTGCGCAGGTGTTATATCCTGTCACTCCAGTTCCATTAAATTTCCTTTAGTGATCAAATTAAGGGCAGGGGTCCGCAACCGCAAGGGGTAAAACAGGCGGCCCACCCAACTTTGTTTTATACATGCATACCTGTCCCTAAGTTGGATTGACTGATCAAATTAGGGAAGATATGGATTTAATTTATGGGTCTCACATGTTTTACCAAATTTCGGATTAGCAGATCTTTATTGTTAACTTGTTATAGAACTAGAATGAGAAGGCCTTCGTTCCTTTTTTATGCAATGTAGTTTGCAATGTTGACGCCTTCTTTACCAGTTACTCACCAGCTAAATATCTTTTTATTGAACAGATTCGCAATGTGTTAGATC